TCTGTATAATTATATTTGAATCCATTAAAAAAGGTTCATCAAGTGTAAATATGTTATGTAAGTAGTTTTGTGTTAATCGGTGATCAATTCGTTTAGTCCAACAAGTTCTGCAATCGATTGCTGCTGCCTTGTCAACCATTAGGGTCGCGGTGTTTCTCCGTTATGCATAAAGTTCGCAGTGGAGAAGCATCGTGGAGTGTGACTGATTAATTCTCTCCCCTTTTTCAGGTATTCATTTTAATTCTTTGTTAAAGTATTATGAGTTTATGGTAAATTATGTTTTAGGCTGTGCAGATGTCATTATGATATCGATTGCATTCTAATTAACATGCTGACAAGTGTAATTAGTTCAGAGATGTGTAAGCTCTGAGCTCCATTTTGAGTATTAATGGTAAGAGGCCCACAGAATGGCGAGAGACCACATGTTCAGCGATTAGCATTACATATTTAGTATGCATGCTTGTAATTAATGTTTAATTTTGTTTATTTAATTCTATTTGTTTGATTTGCTGGAAAAATATGAATATATTGAGAAATGTAACTGTGAAAAACTAATTAACAAGAGTTTATGACATCTATGCACTTCCCGATAAAATAATTCCTAAAAGAGAGCATTTACATGTTTAGAATTGTATGTGCTAGTTTATATCTATGTATCTGGTTAAAAAGAGTAAGAAGTGATTTCCAGATGTTTTTAAAATGCCTAAATGTCTAATTACCAATTGGTATGATTGATTATAAAAACAAAACGCTAAAGAGGGTACATTGTTAATAGCTTATGTCACAATTATTGAATGTCTGTGCAATGAAGAAACGGACAATGTTGCTGTTTTGAAAAGTTGTTTATTGTTAACTGTTATCAAAGAGATTATGCATAAAGTTCGCAGTGGAGAAGCATCGTGGAGTGTGATTAATTAATTCTCTCCCCTTTTTCATAACACACGCGCCGGCTGTTGTGAACATACATATCTATGGTTGTGAATGCGCTCAGGACAGCTGGACATTGCGGTGTATCAGAGGTAAAAAACGATATAAATACTGTTCAGTTTCTTGCACAGACCGATCGTTTCGTGTCTTTAGACCTCAATGTATCGTCACGAGCTGCAGGGTTTCATTTGGTTTTGTCTGTATATGTTTTTTTGACTCGCAAAGCCATGAGTCCCATTGACTGCCATTATATGACTGACAGACTGCAACGGTTTGAGTTAAAAATCTTCGTTTGTGTTCTACTGAAGAAACAAAGTCACCTACATCTTGGATGCCCTGGGGGTAAGCAGGTAAACTTAAAATTTTCATTTTTGGGTGAACTATCCCTTTAATTTTCCTTTTATATTGATTTCTATAATTTATAAATTTTACTGTATGAGGGGCTAAACCTTTTAAAAACGACACCAATTATCTCTGTCAGACATGTTCAGGTACATAAGCAGTAAAGAGTTAAACTCCACACTAATGTTTCCATGGTCTTCTGTTTGAATCTGTGATCCGATTGGTCATCTTTGCTCTGATGGGCGTGGCTGCTGTTGCTGCAGTAGTTATAGCATCACATCTGGATAAAATCAGTAAGACAAGACATAGAGACACCAGGGGGCGCTGTTTTCAAGTCTACCAAAAATACATTAAATACATGTCTAAAGCCCGATTCGGACGGTAATTGTTTCTCATATGGACCTCTGTAAAAATAAATGTACATATCACCTCAGTGATAAAACTCATGGATTCGGATGGCGATTTATTCAGAGTGGAGGAGCGAGTTCTGTGATCCTACGAACCCCGGAACGCGCTGCTCACATGGCCAGTCACACGATTGCTGTAAATAAAAATAATTTTATTTACAAATGTATTTTTATTATTGTGTAAAATGTATTTAAATATACTTATGTAAAATGTATTTTTATTATTCCAAGCATATTTTATAATATATACATTTTATAATATCCTATTTATTATTTTATCATTTCAATCTCCTGTTTAAAACAACTGTTTTATAGTAATACACATTTTAAAATTGTATTGCATAACTGCTGCGGCCATGATAAAGACCCATTTCGAATGTTTACGTGCTTTTCTTCTTTCTGCTCCCAGACGCTGTGGTGGAGCAGTTATGAAGTGTTCTTTTAAATACTTTCCAGCATTTCAGAAATAAATATGTATGCAAATTACACAAGGTTAACTTACGGTGTTCGGGAGTGCTCAAAAAAGGTTTAAACGCTGAATTTTGAATCGATTTCTTCTCGTAAACTCAGAGATGTGGATTCGGACGGCAATTAAATTACCACACGGCCTTGGTGTTTGTCAAAAAACAGTAGGTAATTCGGCCGGGGATTTTTACGGGGGTGGTGTGAGAAAAACACTGACGTCCTGGATTCGGACGGTATTAAAATCACCAACTACCCCCCGTAAATGGTGAAAATCACTTGCGTCCCCCTGAGAAACAATTACTGTCCGAATAGGGCATAATTTAACTATTTAGTTGACTAGGCTTTACACACCTTTCAGAATTTTTGGGTTGTTTTTGAATGCGTTTGGTTTGGTTTTGTCTATCCATCTCTACCTCTGCAGCAAGAGAAATCTTATTGTAACCACAATTAATAAGTGCAACAAAAAAAATCTTTGAGACAGATTTATTTCAAATTAAGCAAAATGCATTATGTCAACAAACCAATGATGTCACACAGATGATTTTTACTACCATTATAAAGCTTGGAAGAGCCAGGATATTTGTTAATATAACTCCGACTATATTCACATGAAAGAAGAAAATCACATACACCTAAAATGGATTGAGGGTAAGTAAATGATGGCATAATTTTCACTTTTGGGTGAAGTTTAAAACATTTCAATGAAGTATTGACAAATTTTTTGTGCTGTATGGAGAAATGTAAATTGTACTATTTTCTTAGTCTTTGTTAAACATCTTCCTCCTGATTGTGGTTTTCTGTGGAGTCTGAAAATGTTATAATTAAACTTAAATTTGAAACACTGAATAAAGTATTAAAAAGAGTGAAATGGTAAATTATACTTAAAGGAATAGTTCACCCCAAAATTCTGTTGTTATAGTTACCCTCATGTTGTTCCAAACCTGCAAGACCTTCTTCATTCATCTTCAGAACACAAATTAAGATATTTGTAATGAAATCCGAGAACTTTCTGACCCTACATTAGGAGCAATGCAATTTACACATTCAAGGTCAATAAAGGTAGGAAAGACATCATTAAACTAATCCATGTGACTCCAGGGGGTTAACCTAAATTTTGTGAAGCAAGAGATTTGCACAAAAAAACATAATTTACCACTTTAAGAAAATATTGACCTGCAATCCAGTAAGGGGAGCACCATGGTTCATGCATGTTTAAAATTGAGACCAGAAGTTGTTCTGTAAACGTACTTTGGAGAATATTATTTTGTAAATATAGTGGTAAATTGTCTTTTTGAGCAAACAAAAAAACAAAGCACAAGACAATGCTATTGTTTTTATTTTTTTTTTATTCTCTATTTGTAGGTGTATTTGTTATCAGTTACGGTCAATTTTAAATGAAAAAGTGTCCAGTAACAGGGAGGAAACGAATAGTGTTCGACTGGTTATGTTCAATGTAAAATTAAATGCTTTTATTAAACTATAGGACAATATTTGGCCGAGATACAACTATTTGAAAATCTGGAATCTGAGGGTGCAAAAAAATCTAAATATTGAGAAAATCGCCTTTAAAGTTCTTAGCATATTATATAATCAAATTAAGTTTTGATATATTTACAGTAGGACATTTACAAAATATCTTCATGGAACATGATCTTTACTTAATATCCTAATGATTTTTTGCATAAAATAAAAAATGATAATTTTGCCCCTGCAATGTATTGTTGGCAATACAAATATTCCCGTGCGATTTATGACTGGTTTTGTGGTGCAGGGTCACATATTATTGTTTCTTACATTATTTTTCTATTGTTGTTTAGTCTTAAGACTGTGTGTTTCAAGGGCTGTTTATCTTAATGAATAAGAGATACGAGGGAATATTTATGGAAAGTCCAGGTTTATGTTGTTTTGAATCAGTTTGTTATAACAATACTTGTTGGATTTGTGCTGGTCAGACGAAGTCTGAGCACTGAAACATACGCAACTAAGATTATTCAATAAACTCTGCTCCTTTTTACCATCATCACTTCGTCTCCTGCTTCTGCTCTTCACTGGATTTCTAAGTCAACTTCTCGGCTGATAGAAGACTGTTAAACGCTAGTTTTGGATATTTTAGGTACCAGACAAGACTTGCTGTTAATGGGTTTTGGGTATTAGGCAATTTTGCTGACTAGTTGTTCTGTTACCAGACAAAACAGATATTTTCTGACAGGATCTAGTGTCCGGGGTTGGGTCTTAATTATCTGGCGTGGAGGCATGATCTTGTCTACAAGTTAATTGTATCAGAATGGTAATGCATTTATTTATCGCTCTCTACAATGTGACTACTTTAGCAACCAGCTAATAGTGTGTTGCTAATGTTACACAAACCATGTTCGCCATCTCAGAGTCATCTAGAAATCAGCATCCTTGCAAATGCTTTTGAACATCCTTGAATGCTTTGTGATAACTTCATTACTGGGAGGCAAAATCAACAGTAATTTTTAACACAAATATGAAATATTGTTCACAACAACAAAACATCTATAAAAATATCATAATTAACAAAATTAACAGAGGAAAGGATTTGAACTGCTATGTCTTTATTCCAACTGTTCTTTTTCTGCTGAATCGTGCTGATATGAACAAAGAAAACTAACATTTACATGTACAAAAATATGCTTTACTTTACTTCATGAAAGAAAGTAAATGAACTAAGAGTGATACATGCTGTACATAATTTCTCGTAGGAACAAGACAATCAAAAAACAACTTAAACTATGCTAACACTCTATTCTACATTTATTTTAATCACTGCATAAAAGATAATACTTATTAACAAATGGTGATTAAACATGGATTAAAATTATATAATAAGTCGGAGAGGGGAAGGTAATGGAGCATAACAATCCTTTACTATTATAACTAACAGCTTCAGTTGGTGTTTGTTTATATAGAAAAGATTTTATTGATTGGTTTTATTGGGTCATGTTTGGTGAGGACATGGTGTCGCGATTAAATGTGCTGGATCCAAAGAAGAATTCAGATATTCAGAGTTCATGATTTCAGACATTTGTTTTTTTTTGTATGACTGAGTAAAGAAGATGAATGAGTGAAACTCTTCCCACATGGAATGCAGTGATAGGGTTTTTGTCCAGTGTGGATCCTCTCATGTTTTTTCACATAATCTGACCATTTGAATCTCTTGTCACAGTGTGAACACTTGTAAGGTTTTTCTCCAGTGTGGATCCTCTCATGTTTTTTCACATAATCTGACCATTTGAATCTCTTGTCACAGTGTGAACACTTGTAAGGTTTTTCTCCAGTGTGAGTGCTCTGGTGCAGTTTCAGATCAGCATCTCTAACAAAAGTCTTCCCACAATCAAAGCACATGTGATCCTTCACACTGTTGTGTCTTTTCTGATGTAATTTTAAAGTACCCGACTGACTAAAACTCTTTCCACACAAAGAACACATGTAAGGCTTCTCCTTTGTATGAACTTTCAGGTGGTCCTTCAGTGCATCTGACCTAAAAAAATGTTTACCGCACTGATCACAGGTGAATGGTCTTTCTCCAGAATGACGACGCAGGTGTATTTTAAAAGTGCAAGACTTTCTGAAACTCTTTCCACACTGATCACATGCGAATGGCTTCACTCCAGTATGGATTGTCATGTGTTCACTAAGAGATCCTTTTTGTCTGAAACTCATCCCACATTGATCACATGTGTGTGGTTTCACTCCAGTGTGGATTGTCATGTGTTCACTAAGAGATCCTTTATATATGAAACTCTTCCCACATTGATCACATGTGTACGACTTCTCTCCACTATGACCTCTCATGTGAATATTAAGACTCTGTATGTATGGGAAACTCTTCCCGCACTGATCACATGAGTACGGCTTCTCTCCAGTGTGGATTCTCATGTGATCCTTAAGGCTTCCTTTCATCGTAAAACTCTTCCCACACTGATCACATGAGTACGGCTTCTCTCCAGTGTGGATTCTCATGTGATTCTTAAGGTATGATTTTATCGGAAAACTCTTCCCGCATTGATCACATGTGTGCAGATTTTCTCCAGTGTGGATTCTCATGTGTACTGTCAGGCTTCCTTTTACTGTGTAACTCTTCCCACACTGATGGCAGGTGAAAGACTTTTCGGCCCTTCTTTGCAATAAATTACTTTTAGTCTGTGAGCGACTCAAAGATTTCTTACTAGTTTTGACATGATGCTGTTTCTCCTCTGCCTCACTCAGTTCTTCACTCTCCTCACTCTCTTCCATCAGGTCTAAAATGAAACGTAAGCAAGGATGATGTAGTGAATATTTATTTATTTATTTAAAGAAAGAGATAAGATAGAATGAAAATATGAGTACATTAACTTTTTTTTTTTTTGCTCTATTACAGGCCGAACTTTCTGTAGCCATTTTAAATTAGAGGCAGCCACTGCATTTTAATCATGATCCAAAGAAAGATTCTACATACATGAGCAATTTCTGATTTAAATTTGATGTAATTTCAAAATCTGAAGCAAAAACAGAATGGTCTTTGTGAAATGTATGCTACTTAAAAGATGGAAAAACAGCAGACAGGCTAAAAGAGAACGCAAATTCACTCTCTGACAGCAGGTGGCACTTATGGAACAGCAGCCATACAGTGTTTCCTTGGTTACCACTGTAAACAAAGCAGTAGTAGAAATACTACTTTAGCATGCATTAGCCTACAGAGGCAAGATGAAAAGAAAATACCATCTAAACTTTTCTGAAGATAGTCAGCTCCCCCAAATATACATTCATACAATGTCCTGGAGAGATGCATGTTCACTCACAGACAGGTTTGTCTATAAATGAAATGAAGAGAAGCCCTTTTTGTCATGATCTTTATGTGTCTTTTTTTGGCCTGATTAAAAGTGAATTTAGAGCAAAGCTCTGCATTATTTTGGTGGTTGTAAATCTTTCCTGCCTGGGAGTTACGTACAACTTTACACATAGTTTGTTGGGAAAGGGGTTTCAAAGATTATTTGTTAAATATAACAAATAATTGTGTGTCTGACTGGTTCATTTGTTAGAGTTAATTATTAGTAAAGCATAAAAATAAGAGGAGCGTGAAGGGAAAGACATAAAAGTAAACCGTGATATAATATCAGAAATATAAATTCCTTAAGTAAGCTTACTTCATAAAAATGTTTTCTACCTGCATTAAAAGCAGGACAGTCCAATAAAATACATTTCTCACACTGCCCAAGTAAATCTCACACCAGATTAAAAAAGCCAATGTGTTTGACATCAACAATCATGAGAGCGATTCAGCAACATTAATAAAGAATCAAGAATAAACACCAACCTCCTTGCTTTTCAGTATCTTTGCGATTTATTCTGCAGGGTTCTGGATTATTCATGTTCTCATTGTTCTCTAATCTTCACTTTTAAGATGATGAAAATAATCCAGCATTGGTGAATTCCTGTGTTGAATAGGTGAAGATCTGCAAAAATCTAAAATAAATAAACGATTGAGTAACACAGTATATGTTATGTTTAACTATCCATCTATTTTAATGTAAAACTTAATTTCATTTAGTAGACTTCATTTCGTTTTTACTGAGCTGTATTTTTGTTCATTGGTTATTATTTATTCATTTGCTGTTTTATATGGAACATTTCTTCACATAAAAAAGTTAAGATAGGTGTATCTTTAAGACCTCAAAAGTGTTGATCATTTGCTTGTACCAATTAAATGAGCATTATTACAAGATATCTTCTATGAGGTGAAAAGGGGAGCTGTTGACATGAAGTAAGAATTATCGTTTAATCAATAATAAAATAATATGAGTCAGACATGATATAGTCTGAAAATGATGATAAAACTGCACTATAGTAGGAGAGAGCGGGGCACAAAGTAACACTTTTTGACTTTCTCAGTTTGTGTAAATCCACATGGGGTTCAGAGTATTTTTTTTTTTTATCCACATAATTTCACACTTGTCTAGTACAAATATGTCGCTTTGTTTCATAATTACAGTGTATACGTTTTTCTTTATTTACCCTCAAAAAATGGAAGTGAAATGTGACAACATGCCCCATAGGTGGGGTACATTGTAAGATCTGAGGGGCACGTTGTAACATGACCATATGACAGCTTAAAATGTTATCTGATCGAATGAAAAAAATATACAAGACAAACTAAAATATTTTGTCAATAAAATAATAATTTATTTCATATAAAATAATGGCGTTTTTAAGAATTAAAAATAATCTGATTTTGGAGTTTGACCATGTACACATTGCAACCATGCTTGGGACGGCCCACATAAACGAGCCAAAATGCTTTACATGTCTTGAAATAATAATTTCTAAACATTAAACATTGACTGTCAGTCTTTATTCACCTGTTTCTCGTTTCTCGTTAAAATTCATTAAAGTAAATAGTGTGACCATATTACAGCTTAAAATGTTATCTGATCGAATGAAAAAAATATACAAGACAAACTAAAATATTTTGTCAATAAAATAATAATTTATTTCATATAAAATAATGGCGTTTTTAAGAATTAAAAATAATCTGATTTTGGAGTTTGACCATGTACACATTGCAACCATGCTTGGGACGGCCCACATAAACGAGCCAAAATGCTTTACATGTCTTGAAATAATAATTTCTAAACATTAAACATTGACTGTCAGTCTTTATTCACCTGTTTCTCGTTGTTTCTCGTTAAAATTCATTAAAGTAAATAGTGTAAATTACATCGCTAATGTCATAGAATAGCACATTGTAACGCAGTGTAACAACGTGCCCCATCTGCGCAAAGTAAAAAAAAGTTTAAAACTGGTTATTGTCTTCTGCTAGTTATCAAAGACTTAAAAAACGATCTGAACTGATAAATAACAGATTGGAGATTAAAATAATAGCAGATTTGTCTAATTTTAAATGAATAATAAAAACTAAGATGAGAAATTTACTTAAGCCAGAATTTTAATTTTACTATGGTAAAATAAATGTTCAGCGATATCTTCAAAAGATTTTTGAATTTTGGTGCACATTTTTTTTCTATATAATGTTGATATGGTAACTAATAAATACTGTAAATTTGGTTATGCTAGCATGTGTGGAAATATTCAAACCACGTGTTACAACTAACCCCGCGCTCCCCTACTATTTCTCACGAGCTTAGAAGAAAAACATTAAAAATGCATCGAAACCTTTAAGCTTTGTAACTCCTTTCACATTTATACAGTGACTTGACTTGAATACCATGTAAGAATAACTTTTAAACAAGCCAAAAAACACCACTCAGTTCCTTAACCGTCAAAAGACGCACAAATAGCACAGAATCCTATGAAAACAAGACAGAAATGACGGCTATAAATGTTGCTTATAAAACCTTTTTGTCATGATTGTGTAAATATATTAAGCTATGCGAACAGCTCACCTCAGAATAGTATGTTACGTTCTGTGCCGAGGCTTCGGAGCGTGTATGTCGTTATTTTAACGCCCGCACGAGGATTTCCTTTGCTCTAGCACAAAACCGGACGCGTATGGCAAGCCGTATTAGCATTAAATACTCCTTGCTGTACTAGTATAGCAAGACGGTTTAACATTTAAAACTTTGGTTTGACTATCCATAAAATATATTTCAAATAGTTACAATTGTAATTCGGCTAGTCATAATTATAATTTGACTAGTCAGAATGATAATTAGAGATATCTGCAATTATAATTGCACTAGTAAGAAATCTGATTAGAGATATCTCTAAATACTTTATGACAAGTCAAAACTCCATTTAAGATCTCTGTAATTACGTCATAGATATCTTCAATAGATGCGTTACATATACGCAAAGGTAATTAGAGATATCTCTAATTCAGTGCAAAGGTAAATAGAGATATCTCTTATTCAGTTTCGACTAGTCACAATTATATTTTAAGATATCTGAATTGTACCTGCTCCTAGTCGAATCTGCTGTTGTGTGACATGAGACTAAATTTACTCAGCTCCTCCCCCGCACCAGAGCCTCTCCCCTGTCTAATGTTTAGTGCTAACCGCTTGCAAAGGATTTCGTTTGCTCTCGCACAAAACCGGACGTGCACGCTCAGATACACGCTACTCTCACCCAGAGAGAGTGCGTGTACTTAAAGGGATACTCCACCCCAAAATGAAAATTTTGTCATTAATCACTTACCCCCATGTCGTTCCAAACCTGTAAAAACTTCGTTCGTCTTCGGAAGACAATTTAAGATATTTTGGATGAAAACCGGGAGGCTTGTGACTGTCCCATTGACTGCCTAGTAAATTACACTGTCAAGCAGAGATGTTCACAAGTCTTTAATTTGGGGTCCGAGTCAAGTCTGAATTCTTTAACCTGGAGTCCGAGTCAAGTCTTGAGTCTTTGCTCACGAGTCCAAGTCGAGTCTCAAGTCATTTAATGGCTCGTTAAAAAAATCCATTCAGAATCCTCATGTATTGAAATCTTCCTATTTACGAAGCTGTTTTATAGGCTATAGACAAAATATGTGATCTATGATCTGCTTTGTAAAAAAAAGAAGTTGTTAAGATGTAAGGTTAATGTACATCCAGCCTGTTACTTATATGTTTTAATCCATTACCATGTTCAAGACAGTTTTTCTGTAATCAAATTCTATAATAAGAGTCCAATCTACCATGACACATAAGGAAATATTTGACACAGATATTACAAAACCATACAAATAAAGTATTTCTTTATGATATAAATCAGGGGTATTCAATTAAAGTTCCATGAGGCGTGGCCTCTATATTTTCTTCCAAGCAAAGGTCCAGACAAATAAAAATAATAATAATAATAAAAAAAACTTTTTTTTTTTTACATGTATTGTATTTTGACATTTAGAATGTGACAAAAAAAAAAAAAAAATAAATAAATACTGTTTCTGTTCAGGGTTTTCCTCCTGAAATCTATTTTAACATTTTAGTTAAAAGCAGTATCTAGCCTACTAAAATCAATAGAGTCAGAGTCATAGGTTATAGATAGATAAATAGATAGTAAGAAAAATAACTATATTTGCAGCATTGTTTTTTCTGCTGTTTTAGTGAAAGTAATCTATAATTTTGCTGCTCACAGTGTTTCTGTTGTTGTTAAAATAACCGCGTCATCCGCAGCTCTTAAACTTGGCGCCTGCGCGTCCGGAGAGAGAGAGAAATACAGAAATACAAGCCCTTTCGCACAGAGCTGAAAGGGCTTGAATAAAGCACGTTTGCCTTTAGATAAAAATACTAGAGGATATAGCGCTGAAAGATATTTACCATAAACGACCCTGAGTGCTTGTTATGTGATGCCGGGGTGCGGATGCGATCCGCCTTTTGAATATCAGCTATATAAGTATTTAAGGATAAAAGACTTGAGTTGCTTTTAAAATATTCACGAATCCTTTTCCTCGAGTCATTTCAGGTCGAGTCTGAAGTCAAGTCTGAAGTCTATAAAAATGCGACTCGAGTCCGAGTCACTAACTCGAGTGCCCATTTCTGCTGTCAAGGTCCAGGAAAGTATGAAAGACATCGTCAGAATAGTTCATCTGCCATCAATGGTTCAACCGTAACGTTATGAAGCGACGAGAATACTTTTTGTACGCAAAGAAAACAAAAATAACGACTTTATTCAACAATTTGTCTCCTCTGTGTCTCTCCGCATCACCGTAGCGCCATTTTGGAGAATATCTGCTGCACGCAAGTAGCGTACACTCTTCTGTGTCAGCTGCGCCACACGGATGCGCTGTTTTCATTCAAAACAAAGCGTAAATGCACGTAGAAAACGTATCCTTGTGTCGCGGCTGACACAGAATAGCGTACGCAGTTTGCGTTCAGCGCATATTCTCCGGAAAATTTGGTTTCACTATTATACTCGTAAGTATTAAAAATCAAAAGTAAGAAGCGAGAAGTCTTCACCTCGAGTTGCGGCGTGGATGTGTTCCAAACATTGTATTTTATAGTCGTGCATAAAATTTGCATTAATACAACGTCTCTTCTTTCCGTACTTCCATATTTGTCATATACAGTGAACAAACACACACACACCCATAACTCTCTATGCAAGCAGAGACTTAGGTTACTATGGTTACTCAAGACAGGAAGGGTAACCTTTGACACAGTTACCAACTCACAGTATCGTAAGTTCAACTGGAATAATTGCAGCATCTTTTCAGAAAAGCAAGCTCATTTATCTCTACTTTAATCTAAACAATTACAACAACTTAAAGGCATAGGCTAGGCCATTTCCAAACTACACAGCAACATTTCTTAAGATAATATGAAAGCATAGTACAAACACAACAATTAGAGAAAAGTTCCATTTCGCAACAGTATATGTTGCCAAATGCATCTCCTTGCATAACTGCTGTACAACATACACACACGTGGCAATCTTTGCTGTTTAGCAACCCCTGTTTACATTCTTACAGGATGTACATCTTACAACTGCATCTAAAACTTGTCAGCTGTGAGAGCAGAAGTCTGTAATCTCAAAGTTTTAAGATAATTTGCTAAAGATTGTAACTCCAAATTAAAATGAGTCAAATCAATAATTTCCTTAAGCATTCTCATAATTTCTTTCCTGTTTCCGGATTAACTGAATTATTTTCCTTATTCTAAAAATAATCTCCTGATGCTCCAGTGGTTGGTGCTTTGTCCTTTTTCCTTCGGCGTTGTTCTTTCTTCTTTTGTTTTTTGACTTTGCGGCTCCAATCCCTCTGGATCCCTTGGACAAGTATATCATCAAAATTAATTTCTATTTTACCTGGTTCATTGTTTCAGTTTCCGATTGAGAATTGATCTGGGGAGGGAAATTTCGTATTTATTGGATCATCTGATACTACACTATCCATAAAATATATTTCATAAAGTTACAATTGTAATTCGGCTAGTCATAATTATAATTTGACTAGTCACAATGATAATTATCATCATCATTAACTGCAATTATAATTGCACTAGTAAGAAATCTGATTCGAGATATCTCTAAATACTTTATGACTAGTCAAAACTTCATTTAAAATATCAATAATTACGTCATAGATATCTTCAATAGACGCATCACATATACGCAAAGGTAATTAGAGATATCTCTAATTCAGTTTTGACTAGTCACATTTATATTTTAAGATATCTGAATTGTGCCTGCTCCTAGTCGAATCTGCTGTTGTGTGACGTCAGAATAAATTTACTCAACTCCTCTCAGAGCTCCTCCCCGCCTAATGCTTAGTGCTAACTGCTAACAACAGTGGTCTGCTTTTGTTGTCAAGCGATTAGTAATATCTGGATGCAGCCATATGTGGTAAAAGGTCTCCAGCGTGCATATATTTATAGAGCTGTGATTTTAATTGAATGTTGCAAAACGGACCAAATGCAGCGTAATGTTCAATAAAGGCAGAAAACCGCAAACTGCTCGTCTTAATTTATTGATTATATACAGTGGGTACGGAAAGTATTCAGACCCCCTATCTTCGATAGACGCATCACATATACGCAAAGGTAATTAGAGATATCGCTAATTCAGTTTTGACCAGTCACAATAATATTTTAAGTTGTCTGAATCGTACTCCTAGTCGAATCTGCTGTTGTGTGATGTGAGACTAAACTCAGCTCCTCCCCACACCAGAGCCCCTCCCCTGCCTAATGCTTAGTGCTTAACTGCTAACAACAGTAGTCTGCTTTTGTTGTCATGGAGAGAAAAGCTACTGGATGAAGTGCTTCAGGGATTATTAAATAATATCTGGATGCATTCATATGGTAAAAGGTCTCCCGCATGCATGTATGTAGCGCTGTGTGAACGGACCAAATGCAGTGTAATGTTCAATAAAGGCAGAAAACCACAAACTGCTCGTCTGAATTTATTATATATTTAGACATAATGAAGAACAATGGAATTATACAACAAAAACATGAAAAATAGTAGAAATAAATGCATGACGGACAAGAACAATGCTTCATAATCAGATGCAGTCAAAAAAGGTGAAGGCTGATTTTAAAAAGATTACAAATTAATAAAAGTTTAACGGGCACTGATGACATTTATTAGTAGGTTACATTACATGTGTATGGAGTTAGGTTTATGGCCGCTTGTTTCTGCCATGGAATAAAAAATAAAGGTAATTTGCAGCTTTTTATCTTACAATTCTGACTTTTTTTTTCTCAGCATAGCGAGATATAAACAATGCAAGTTATAAACTTTATAACTCACAATTCTTACTTTATGTGAGTTGCATTGTGTTTAGCTATATCTCCTAATACTGAGAAGTCAGAATTGTGAGATAAAAAGTCGCTATTTATTTATTTATTATTTATTTATTTAGTGGTGGGAACGAGCTTCCATAGGAAATAGCCCACAAGGTGGGAGTATTGTATTGTATTATTGTCAGACTCTGGGCCAGGTTTTGTGTGTGTCTTGGCTCCCTATGTGCTCTGTCATCTAGTTTCTCTGTCTCGTGTTTTGAGTTCATTGTTCCCAGGTGTTTCCAATGTTAATTGTCA